TAAAGTCCTATTAATAAAAAGTGAATCACCCTGTATAATCAGTAAATGCTTATGTTGAAATCTGGTTAAAGCTAAAGTTAAAATATACATTTAATATATTTTTTGAGTTATAGAGAATTAATATTTTGTTTCATTTGGTTGTTTAGTCATAAGAGATTTGAAAAATTTTTATCAGTAAACAGAGATAATTTTCACCACCGAACAGAAACAAACAATTTCGAGCAATTTACTTGTAGAATTACCTAATTCGAATTATATTAAATATTTATTTCTCTTATTTTTTAATTAGTTTCAGTCCCAGCGTGTGTTTCAACAGGGAGCTCATAAAAAAGTGTCTTAAACTACAGATTTCGACTGTCAAAAAACGTTACTTGAAATTGCTATGTGTATTCTGCACAACAGGGCCGGTTTCAAAATTTTCTGTTTCTTTGAATTGGCGATTTTTTTCATCTTGAAAATATGGCATTTTAGATCACAGGCTGCTAGGTGAAAATTGTTTATATTCAGCAACTAATTATAATTCAGACTATTAATTGGTGTTTTTGTTCCACTTAAACTGTTCATACTTTCTGCGTCAAACTGTTTCTTTCACAAGTGTATAAATCTTTGGTTCCTCTACTTATATTACTTCCGGCAAACTTTTGAAATAAAAATATTTAAATTTGAGGGTTTTTACGGCTAAATGATACTGTAAACGTAGCTTGGTAAAAAACACCCAACATTTTTTGCATATTCTAGGCCCTGCACGTGATAGACAGAGTCCTGGACCTCAAGATAAAGCTTCCAGTGTCTCCACAGCCTTCGGCCAGAGTATACGACTTCCTTAAACACATCCACAAATGGAACTTTCGAGATTCCATGTCAATCACTAAGTTTCACCAAAAAATACAACAATACGAACTAGTCGACCTGTACAACAGTCTTAAACCCCACACATTTTTCATACCCGTAAACTCAGGCACAGACTCTTACAAATACGGAATGATCAACAGGAAAGTCATTCTGGGTCACGTGGTGCACGACCAAGTCGTTTTCAGTAGACCAGAAGGACGGGTAGTAAACACGACTGACGAAGATGGTACCCTCCACACGTTCTTCTTCGAGCGTATAAACGACACTGTGTTACTTCAATATGCGTCCTATTTCAGTACCGGTATGGTGCAGTATACTATTAAGGTGATGGAACCAGACATCCCTTTACAAAACGGGGTGGTACACCTGATTTCAGAACCACTGGGCAATTTTTTATGGATTCCAAAACCTTTCCCTTACTTGCCCATCATAAAAAAAGTCACCAACGACCCCGAGATAGAGGTCTTCTATCAAATGGGGCGTGTAACGGGATTTAACGATATACTTGACAGGGAGAATGTCAGTTTCACCTACTTCATACCTAAGGATTCTGCTTGGTACCGAACCAGCAAATTAGGACTCGAACCAGTTGCTAGCTTCAACAACATCCTGGCCAGGCACTTGGTGATATCAGGGTCACCTTACTCCATGCAGCAGTTAGCTTCGATGACGAGAGATAACTATTACAGTCCCATCAAACTGAGGTCAGAGAAGGGCATTCTGAGAATCTCTGTGTTCGAGATAGACGGGCGATACTTCATAAAATGGAGGAAGAAGTATATCGAAGTATTAAAACCTGACTATGTGTGTAGTAATGGCGTGGTGCACATTATGGGAGGTCCCTTCGTCAATTTTAGGCCGCGGGATTTGAAGAACGGCTCAATAAATTTAGATAATTATTGGAAAATTGTGAACAACATTGGCGTGTAACAAAAAAAAAGCAGGATGCCAAATTGTGGTTATGTTGCCATAGGGTGTAATTTAAGTACGTAAAAATATTTCAGGGTCTTCTACATTATCACTCTTCTGTATTACGTTTAGTCAGTGGCGGCTCGTCGTATGAAGCAACTGAGGCCGGCCCTCACTGTAAAATTTGGCTTTCACACCATATATATTAATACCTACTCTTGTAGTTCATTTTTACATACTAATTGGTGTTTATGCATCAAATTTTTTCTCGACTGGACTCCATAATCTTTTTTATACCCTAACAACTTCTTAAGGTTCCAAAACCAAAAATAGTTTTCTCTTTCAAAAACCCAGGGCCGGATTTCAAAAAATTTCCAGTTGCAAACATCAAATTCCCTGACTATTCCCTGATTTTTATGAAGAATAACAAAGTCCCTGACTTTTCTCGGTATTCCCGGTTTTTCCGACCGCTACGAACCCTGTACTATTCTATTATTAACCTAAATAAACAGTTAGGTAAACTAATTTCCAATTACCTATTACATTTATCAAATATCAAAATAACAGTATAAAATAATTGTTTGAATATTGAATACCTCCCTGCTCGTCGTTTCTATCGGCGCGGCATTGGATACTGTTCTCCCCAGTCCCCACTAGTCCCCACCACGGTGAGGCCGGAATTTCTTTGCTTGTTGGCGCGTCACACTTGCCTACAATATGGTACAGTTCCCCCCCCCACGCGAGGCGGTTAAAATAACGTGACATGCGAGGGAACTGAGGCCGGCTCAAAGCTGCTTATAGTTTCAGTTCGCGGTTAATGTACGCGTCGCATAGTACGCGGGTAGTGTCTGATGTCAGTGTGAGGGATAGTGCAAAGGCTTTAAGGATAAGGACAAGGCAGGTATTAATTTACAACAAAACAAAGTAAGACTAAATTTAACGTAATTTAACAGATACTTATTATATTATCAAATACCCACTAATAATAGCTAATAATGGATCTATCTCACAATATTGTTTTATCTCTTGAAACACCTTTTTCAAAACGTAATGACGTAAACTACTGCTCTAAATAAATTAAAATATCATCATTAGTTCAAGAATTTCTGAATTAAGAAACGAAAAAAAAATTAAAAATATGTATTTTTAATTATGCGTAAAATATTACTGGACTACCAAGTAAACGGGGCAAAAGTTGCGACGAATTAGGAATATTTTCGAAATTTTATTTAGTACCTACCGGAAATTTACATGATTTAAATTTTTTTGCTTTAATAAATTCCTCAAAATTTCCGGAATATGCAAACAATTTCGTGAAAAATCGTTTGAATATTTATTACAAATGTATCCAAACGTTTTAAAAATAGATAGGTTGAAAAACGAACTTAATATTTTGTACAGAGATGAACAATTTCGTAATTTAGAAGTTCAAAAAACGATAGAAATATTATACAAGGAATTTAAAATGGTATTTTCGGAAACATACAAATTGTTTTGCCCAATTTTAACAATTCCTGCAATAAGTGTCTCGGTAGAAATAAACTTTTTGTGTCTTAAGCACACTAAGACTTACCTATAGTAGGATCGTATTCGATGCAAAGTAGAGCAAAAAGTTGTCGGTCTTTTATCAAAGGAAAATCGTATCATCATTTTTAGGAGGCGTAAGATGAACCATTTCAAATTTAAAATGAAATTCAATGTTAAATCTGAAATACCGCTGCATACGCACTGTGTTCTGGTAGTAGCTGTAGTCGCCAGGTGCATCGAGTGTACGAAGTGGTAAGAGGTAAAATGTAGTACATATATGGAAATTAAGAAACAAATTGGATTTATAATAAATTACATTTAAAATAAATAGTTTATAAGAATAACGGAATTTTTGTAGGAACAAGGGTGCCAGACGTGAACTGATCCCTTCGTCTCTTCATAATGTATAAAGAAATTATTCATTTTCTAAAACTCTTAAAAGCGTATGGCACTGGATCCCTTGACAGGCAATGATTTATTATTTTGAATCGAATATGATCGTACTATAGGTAACTACTTAAGAAATACGATGACACAAGAGGGCTTAAACACTTTATCAGTGATGACGATAGAAAAAGAACTATTGTAAAATGTTATTGCCGATCCTCAATCTTATGAAGACGTTTTAAGTAAATTTGCAAATTTAAAAACGGACGAATAAACCTGTTTTATAAAACATTCACTATGTTTTTAAAATATTTGTAAAAAGTGAAGGCAAACGAAAAGCTGGCGGCGTTGTTTTATATGTAAATAGATAAGTTGGCTGACTACCTTGTGAATATTTGTTTTTATTTTCATATTTTTTAATATCCATAAACCAAGTAGGAACAATTTTGTTAATGATTAGGTAAATATATCAGTTTGTTTTTTTTCTGTCACTTAATTTTATTGTAAATACAATTTTTAAAGTTCTGATATTATTAATAATATAATTTTTAAATTTACGGTTCTAGTAGGGTTATTGGCGAAGATCTCCATAATAAAAAATGACGTGGAAATTTATTCCTATTTATTATTTGAGAGCGGATTAATAAAATATCCAAATAGTTGCGTATTATTTTTTATAAAATCCGAATGAAATCCTGCTCGTGAACATCAGTTTTTCTATAATAATGTAAATGCAGCTAAAAATTTCCAATGCATTTAGTTGTTTGACCTTGAAAATTAAAAAAAAAATTAACTGCGGCGCTTTTTTTTTCTTTCTTACCCACCTAGTAAAAAAGTCACTGGCCTCACCTATTAACAATGTCACGAGCCGCCACTGCGTTTAGTACGCAATTTTGTTATATTAAGGGTTCAAGGTCATTGATATATCGCAAGATTGCTGGGAGAATCACCCTTAACTTTATACGGATTGCTCTTTGACCTCATAGTCTACGTATACGTAAGGATAAATTTTACGTATAAATAAATAAGAGTAAAATATTTTTACGTGCTCAAGTTACAACCTAGCATACAAAAGCAAATGTAAATTAAAAAATATGTTACCCAGTCTGAAAGGAAATAAAATTGTTTAAAATCACCAACATTTACAAATAAAATGTTTTATTAATGCTAAAACAAAGAACCGGGACCTCAAAGATGACGTCACACTTAAAACCGCTAACTTTTGACTGCCCCCCGTAGCTGAAGGCTATTCTGGGAATCCTGAACGTCTCTTAAATGTGGAGAAAAATGTTCTATCGCTTCTAATCTAGTCGGTCATAACCTTGTCCAAATTAAAAGCAGTGGGATCAAAACAAATACGCGAATATCTCAGTGCGTTCTAAATATATAATCAAATAATACGAAAATGCGGTGGTTTCTTCTGCGATTCTGTTTACTTGTTGGACTGGCCGGTCAACATGTACAAGCTGAAAGGTATGATCGTTTGCAGATTTGGAAGATTGTTTGATTGTAATACGGTGAAACTAACAACTTTTTTAACAAAAGAGCTTTGCCATTATTTACGGATCAAAAAGGCAATGTGTAACTGTTGAGTAAATATTATTTCTTGTAAATTATATATTTCGAAAATTGTCTTAAGACGTTTATATTTTAATTATGTTTCCAAAGTCTCAAAAAGACATTTTAGTTAACTGAAAAGAAAGACATCTTACGGATGTTATTTTTTTATTGAATTGGATAAATTGTTTCGATAATATGACTTATTTTTGAAAATTTATTTATTTCAATTGAACAAATTTTACAATTCAAACTAATCAACTAACATTATTTTGTTACTGCGAAAATTACAGATTGAGGTTATAATGAATCAAGTTTATTCGAGAATTACTTCAATCACTTTCTTCAACCCTTCTTACACCAGCGTCAACAATTATTGTACTCGAGCAATCAATCTTTTTTCGTTATTAAAATTTGTAGTGATGTTTTTTTTTCAAGCATGTGTTCTTTAACGCTCTTTCAAAGTTCGTCCATAGAATAAAATGGAATTTTGCAAAATGCACTTGATTCTTAAAATCTTATATAGGGTGTTCAAATTTGAATAAACTTTTTAAATTTGCCGCCATTTGTGTTTTTTGTACTAGAATAGTTTGGGGTTTGTGACAGCTGTTAAGTAGAAATATGGCAATTAATAAATGTGGAGAAGTATATGACTGAACAACGCGTCTTTATTATTAAAACTTATTTTAAATTTGGTCAAAGTTATGCAGAAATTGGAAGAAAACACAGAACAAATTGTCCAATAAACAGCACCATTTGAAATACTGTGAATAAATTTGAAGAAGCTGGTTCAAATGGTTCACAAGACAATATTGCAGCTGTCAATGATATTGTCACTGCAGAACCAAACACATCAATTGTCATCATCGTTTACAACAATCAGGCATTAAACAAACCACTTTATTCGATATTTTGCAAAAGAATCTTCACTTAAAGGCTTACAAAATATAGGCGGCGGCGGCGGTGTCAGCTGGGGGGTCTCAGCCAGGACAGCAGGAGGCCCCGCGAAGTGAATTAATTTCAACACTGTAGGTATATCCTAATTAATCATTTATGAGTGATTTATTTTTGCACTCAATATTTACTGAATTAAATCTGAGTAAAAAATGACTCAATAATAGTTAAATTTATCATATTAGAGAAAAAGTCAACTCTAAATTGGTTTCATATACTCAGAATAGACTCAAAAGTTGATCAATTGATAGTTAGCAGTAACTCGAATTTGAGTAAAACTCAATCATTTCTAATGCAATGCTTTGTTATACTCATATTAATACATAGAGTGAAAATTTCACTCAATCGGGTGTGGACAGAAATTGATACATTAATGAGTAAAATTGAGTGAAATTTGAGTGAATTTTTTTTAGTTTAAATTTAACTATTATTGAGTAATTTTGTACCATTAAAATCCCAAGGAGGACGGCGCACCCCGAGCCCCCCGCACCTGCCACCGTTGCTTCCATGTTATTAATATCTGGAGTGGTTTTGCACCACTTTATATCCTCTTTAATTTTTATTTAAATTTAAATATTAATCGAAACTCAATACATTATTGTTTTTAATTATTGTTATCAAACCATTTAAACATAATTTTCAGCAAAATAACTGGATTAACGGACACTTATCCACTAATAGGGTCTATGGGAATACACAAAGACAACGCACGATAACCATAGAACGGGGTGGAATCACTCCATAATGAGGACATTTACTCCGATTTAGCTACAAGTGCACCAAATACGAGTTTTTCTGATTTATTTAACGGGTACCTACCTATATTTGAGTGAAACTCAGTTTTAGTTAAAATATTGTCGCAAATTAGTAAAATTATCAAAATGCTCAATATTGATTGAAAATGTACTCAATAATTTCACTCAATGGATTCAAACCGTACCTTTATTGCCTCCACTCACGCCGATTTTTTTACAGTGTAATGTGGTGTAACATGTCATACAACAACGGAAACAATGGCTCTTTTGAAACTGAAATTTGGTATTCGAATAATTTCTCGAAAAGATGTTAATTTACCACGAAGATTATGCGATCTATTACGATTAGCCTTGTTTTAATGGAGTTTTTTGAAAGCAAAGTTTATGCTGACAATCCTCAAACCATTCAACATCTGAAAGAAAACATAATTGAGCAAATCACTGAAATTGAACTACTATTACGCGAACAAGTGATGGAAAATTTGCTAAGAGATTGAATACTTCTGGAGCTGCAAGAGGTGGTCACTTATCTGACATTATTTTCCATTATTAACCGCATCGCAACATGTTTACTTTAATATTCAATAAAGATATCTAGTTATTTCGAGTAAATTATGTTTTATTGAAAAATTAAAAAAATAACTCAAATTTGAACACTCTCTAGTATATATTCACCAAGTTTCACAAAGATTCAAGATCTAGAAAAATGTTGCTATCAATCCAAAGTCCGGTAAGTATGGCGTATAATTGTCAATAACTCAGTAACGACTCATCTGTCCAATAGTGGATTTCGGGAGCTTATTATACATGAATTGAAGGGTATTTTCCTAAAGATTCATGACGTTTAATTGATTTTTAGAAAATGACGAGAATTTTAAGAAAAACATCGATTTTTGCCATGTTTTGTTAATTGCGAAATAATTTTTGTAATAAAAGAATTGGAGTGATGCTATCTTGTAGAAAATTTCATCTAGAATAAAAATGATCTCTTGTATTTCCTTAACAGAGTGCGATACAACCGAGATATTGAAGAAAATTTAATAAAAAAGCATTATTTGCGATGTAACTTTTTTTTCACTATGTGGCGCTTGTGCACTTTAACGTGTTGTCCTATAAGATATTTGTAGCGAATTGTTAAAAAAATTCCTGCTAAAACTCGCAAAAACTCTCCAATTTCGAATATAAAACAAAACTTCGCAACCTAAAATAAAAATATTTATTTACTTAAATCTTTCCGTAAAATTCAAACTGCTGCTACACCACTAACACTCCTTATCCGAAGGTTCAAAACCATTCACGAGAAGATCCAAGGAGAACAGGAATACACGAGCTTCAACGACCTGGTCCGCAGCAACAGGGTTGCCAAGCTAAACCTCCACTACGAACCTTTAACAGTGTTTGTGCCAGAGAACAGGGCCTTCGACCAATACGAAGGCGAGATATACTCAGATCTGGCCTTCTACCACATGAGCTTCGAAGTAAAGACCCTCAAGCTTCTCCGAACTACCAACGCCTTGCAATCGGCGAACTTGGACAACCCTCCGTTGTGGATCACCAAGGTCAATGACGATATATACGTTAATAGCGCCAAGATATTGCAGGATAAGTCCAACTATGTGTCTAGGAGCCGCAGTGGTGATATGGGACAACAGCAGGTACGACGAAGATGAAGTAAAATCTCTCTCGCAATTTTTTATCGAATAAATGGTTTAGAAAGTAGAAATTGTTACAAACCGCTATATTTGTGGCATTCTTTTACACGTTACAAAAAAATGACCATTTTATTGGTCAAATTTATGGCAAGTGTCATAGTAATTGTAAAATGTAATTAAAAATTCGAAGTCATTAAAAAAATCATCAGGATCGGTCAATTTGTCGTTTTATCCAATCTCTTGGCCAGTTTTGGAGCTAGCATGATCAATACAGAGTGTTCTACAAGCTCTTTAACAGACTGACATGGTTAATTCCAAACATTTTCTCTTATACAGGGTGATTCATTAGTAATGGGACAGAGCTTAAGGGCATGTTGCTGACCTCAAAATAGAGCGATTAAGCCAAATATGCCTTATCCGAATGTTGCTCCTTTTCGATCTACAGGGTGTTAAAGTTGAAAAAATATTTTCGATTTTTTTAAATATCTTGAGCATCTTTGAACGGATTGTCTTGAAAGTTTGTACACCTATGTTTTCTGAGGTGGTAATTACGGAAATGGTAACTATTTTGCAATCACATCTAGGATGCGCTAGTTGTAGTGTTCCGTCGGAGTAAACATATGTCAAACTTTTTTGTCCTTCAAAAATCTGAATTTCCAATAAGAAATTATTAAACCACGTTCAATTCTAAATAAAAAAGATATACCTGTTAAAAATCGATAAACTTAGCCGTTTTCGAAATAAGAACGATTTACTATTTCTTTACAAAATTATTTGTTTGAACGTACGCCTTTAAATAAGATGACTTAATTACGAATTAAGACAAACACAGTAACAACTGAAAATTTTATTATGCTTAAGTCTAATTACAAAAGATTCTCAAAGTGGCGACCATTGTTTTCAATACATTTTTTTATTCTCTCGTTAAAATTTTGTCTGACACTGAATAGACTTCTTTGTTGGTCTCTGATAATGTTAACAGATTCTTGTATTTTTGCCCACAGCTCTTCTCGAGTATGTATAATATCTTTATAAACTAAAGATTTAATGTTACCCCAGAAATAAAAATCTAGGGGATTTAAATCACAGCTACGCGCAGGCCAAGGCACTTCGCTGCCGCGACCAATCCAACGGTTTCGAAAACTTATATCGAGATATTCTCTTACTGGTCGGGAATAATGTGCGGGAGCACCATCATGCATAAACCAAAAGGTTTGTCGTAAATTTAAGGGGATATTTTCAAGAACGAGTGGCAAGTCGTTCGTTAAAAAATTTAAATAATTTTCCCCATTAAGTGGACGAGGTAACACAAATGGACCCAAAATATTATCAGAAAGTATTCCACACCAAATATTTATTGAGAATTCAAACTGAAAATATTGTTCTCATGGCAAATGAGGATTTTCCAGTTCCCAGGAATGGCTATTTCTCCAATTAAATACACCGCGCCGGGTAAATGTAGCTTCGTCCGTAAACAATATTTTATTATAAAATGTAGAGTTAGCATTTTGTTGCCGACGAAATAACTGTGCGAACCGAAATCTACCAGGAAGATCTTGTGGCATGAACTGTTGAACCGGACGAAAATGGTAAGGATACAATTTTTCTTTGTGGAGTATTCTGAAGACGGAAGGCTGACTTACACCAGTAGCTGATGAAATTCGGCGTATGCTTGTTTGCGTATTTTCGTAATTCGCACTAAAACATCCTCTTCTTGCTCCGCCACTAATACTTTAGGCCTTCCAACGTCTCGTTTAGGACGAAATGATCCCGTTTCTCCTAATCTGTCGTACAACGTCTTGAAAAGCTTGTGGTTAGGTTGTCTGTTATTCGGATATAACTCCAAGTACCTCGCTGCTGCATGACGACCACAATAATTTTCTTGAGCATACACGCATACCATGTTTCTCATTTCAACAAACGAATAATCATTATTACGCGACATTTTAATGAAAAAAATCGCAAACGAAGAAGAACTAAACTGTCTAGTATTTATAAGTTGCTTAGAATTGACATAAATAATACATGATATTTCATTGACAGCGGCCTACTTCATTTAAGTCATCTTATTTAAAGGCGTACGTTCAAACAAATAATTTTGTAAAGAAATAGTAAATCGTTCTTATTTCGAAAACGGTTAAGTTTATCGATTTTTAACAGGTATATCTTTTTTATTTAGAATTGAACGTAGTTTAATAATTTCTTATTGGAAATTCAGATTTTTGAAGGACAAAAAAGTTTGACATATGTTTACTCCGACGGAACACTACAACTAGCGCATCCTAGATGTGATTGCAAAATAGTTACCATTTCCGTAATTACCACCTCAGAAAACATAGGTGTACAAATTTTCAAGACAATCCGTTCAAAGATGCTCAAGATATTTAAAAAAATCGAAAATATTTTTTCAACTTTAACACCCTGTAGATCGAAAAGGAGCAACATTCGGATAAGGCATATTTGGCTTAATCGATCTATTTTGAGGTCAGCAACATGCCCTTAAGCTCTGTCCCATTATTAATGAATCGCCCTATATGAACATAGGACCGATTCGTTTTTGTTTAGAAATTACAAGCATTTTAAAAAATATAATTTTACGTTTCAATCAAAGTAGCCTGCTAAATAAAACTGATGGTTGCTATATAGAACTTTCTTGGAAAACAATATTTTTTATTTCATTGATGACGCAGGGCTTAATATTGTTCAAAATATGTGGAGCACCACCACATAGGAGACAAGTAACTGCTTGGTTAAATAATAATTTCCCGAATAAATGGATAGGTCGACAAAGTCCAATAGCATGGCCACAGCGTTCCCTAGGACTAAATACTTTAGACTTTAATTTATGGGGGCATATGAAGCAGCCTGTCTACCATGTTGAAATTACTACCCGTCAGCAGTTACTGGAAAGAATTCAGGATGCAGCTAACCAGATAAGAAATGAACCAAATCTCAAGCGTCGAGTGACGGAATCTTTAGTTCGCCGATGTGAGGCTTGCATTCGAGCCGAGGGTAGACATTTTAAGCAATTTTTATAGTCTTAAGATTTGTTAATTTGGTTAATAAAGGTTAATTAATGTTTAAACTGTAAACACAAATAATAATTATTATTATAGAAATCTTCATCTATCAGGCTACTTTGATTTAAATATGAAAGTATATTTTTTAAAATGCTTGCAACTACTAAACAAAAACGAATCATAATTCATAAAGAAAAAATGTTAGTCATACAGCTTGTAGAACACCCTGTATAACTTGGCCAATTATTTGATAATTTTTATTGGTTAGAAATCAGTCAAAGTAGAACAGATTTTTCCATTTTTTATAGTACCCTTATCAAAATTCTATTGTTATGCTAAAAAAAAAAAGAAACAAGATTTATGTTGGCCTCAATTTTAAAACTCTGATTCTGTCGATTTTCTCTTTTTTTAATTTAAGTTTCATTCCTCAGTTATGGTGCCAAGAGAAGAATATTTATTGAAATTTCACTTTTTAGAATATAGTATATAAGACGCAAGGGAGAATACTGTATGTATTCTGGATTTTGGGTGTTAGGTTGGGTTTTTCGACAAGTACAGATTTAAATTTCACTTTTTTATTTATAAGTTATTTCTTTTGTAATTTGATCGAAAATGTCTGTTCCTAGCATATTTTTAAGAGTAAAACTTGTTGGTTCTTTAATGAAACTTTACGGAGTTGTCCTCAAAACTTAAAAAAACCGTGGTGCAATATTTTTTTCTCAATAAATACATGGTTGTATGCCCTTACCTACGCCTATGGCGATATATAAAAAAATATTTGATTTCAGAAGTGGAGCTTTTTAGGAACTACTATAGTGTAGCAATTTCAATAAACCTTCCGGTTCTTGTTATATGTACACAGAGTGATTCAGTTACAATGTCGTTAATTTTAAGGGAAGATAAGGCGATTAAAAAAAATTTAAATGCCCATTTACACTGAAAAAAATATTTTCAGGCCACTCCTGACCGTTCACCCACAAAGGTTTATTCAGTGTGAATCTTGACCTACCGTATTATTCGGTCAATAACCTAGTTTTTACTGCGTTTTTAATGCGTAGTAGGACAAGGAATAAACAGATTTTACCTAAGCACATGAATGAATAAGATATTATTTTACATTTCAAATATTAATATATGTATACAGGATCGGAAAGTCCTCATGGTTCATCGGCCATTACGTGAGAGCGATGAAGTCATCATAGAAGTGGATCTTATTTGTGAAAGGGCGAAATGGGCGGTGACTATTACGCCTTCATTGTAGCCATCTTTCTCTATCGCACGGATTTCTATGACTTTCTTTATCGCTCTCACGTAACGGCCGATGAACCATGGGGACTTTCCGACCCTGTATAGGGTGTTCCACCTAAGAGGGATTCTTCTGTAACTCTGTAACTGTAAAATTTATAAAAAAATGATTTTAATAAGTTGTCTGGAATCATGTGGGCCATATAAAGAAAATATTTTTAGCTTTACAGGGTGTTCCATTTCGCCTGGACGCTACATAACTACGTTATTTTAAATGGATACCCTATATATTATTGCGTTTTTGAATTCCTTGGTTGATATTAGGTAGAGTTTATTAAATGCACATGGTGGTTAAAACTTACCGGTTAATCAGTTGTTTTTGAAAAAAAAAACACGATTTCAGCTCTCTAACTGAGGCTAGATAGTGTCTAAACCGTAAGAGTTAGAATCCTGCAGTTTTCACAGTTCGTTTTGGCATAATTTGGCATAAATTACTCTATCTTGTCATCTGTGAGCAAAACGTGTACGTTATTCAGACTCGGAAATACTGTGACCTACATTTAATAATCCAACGAGTTGAAAATTTTTTTTTTTCAAATGGAATGACCCATTTTAATTGTCATGGGTGAATGCAAAATTGAATGCCCTTTCGACTGATATAAGGTTGTCCATACTTATCTCTAACAGTTTTTCAGAAAAATCAGGTTATTTTCTAAAGTCCGAAAAAGTAGCTATGTATAACAGCATCAAGAAGGCTTTGCAATCGTATTAGTACAACGTCGATACAATCGGATTTTACAAAAGCACAGCACAGCACATTCTTATCGTATCTAATCACACCAAGAGTGACTAAAAGTAGACTTTCATCGGAGACTGCAGTTTTGTCAGTGGACACTTGAGAATTTTGAGATGTTAAGTCAAGATTATGATTTTTTTAAAGGGTCATGTTCTCCGATGAGGCTACTTTTCATAAAAATGGTTTCGTTAATAGTCATAATTGCCATTATTATGACACAGTAAATCCTCACCAATTCTGGACAACTCATAACCAACGATGGTCTTTGAACGAGTGGGAAGCAATTTTGGGAACCCATGTCATTGGACCATTCTTTTTGACCAGCATCTAACTGGAGCAGTTTATTTGAACTTTTTAACACAATACCGCTGCGGTTCGTCAGTTTTTACACGAAACATTTACATGGCCCACATGATTCCAGGCAACTTTTATTAAAACCATTTTTTTATAAATTTTACAGTTGCAGAGTTACAGAAAAATCCCTCTTAGGTGGAACACCCTGTATAAAAACAAATATTTGTATAATGATAATAATTGTTTTCAAATGTTAAGTTATTACAATTTAGTATTTTTAATATTGTTAACGTTTCCATTATATTTTTATAATAGAATATCTCTAGTATTATGTTCAATTAATTATTCAGTTCGTAGTACGTATACCTAGTGACTTATTGCTCTTCAAAGAGTACTATGGTACCTATTTAAAATGCCAGTACTGCTAAAACAACACTCATCCGTCCATAGCACTTTGTTAATAAAGTTGGGATTAGCTGCACTATGATTTTGAAACCAATTGCAGAATTCAAGACAACTGAAGAAATCAGCTGTTTCGCTTCAACATTCGATATTTTAAAAGGTCGAGTAAATTTGTTTTTCGATTTTCTGCCTTCTGAATACGTGGTTAAAATTAATGTCATTATGACTGAATCACCCTGTATCAAACACTTATTATCCTGTAATTGGGCAACTGGGCTTGGGACATTTGCTCATAGAAATTTTTTGACGTAACTGACAAAACACCCCCTTTATTACCGGAAAATGCGACCTCCTGTACAGAATATCACATATAAAAACGTCCATGTTTGAAATAACTGATCCTTTTCATTTCTTCTAGGTCCTTCACGTGATAGACAGCGTATTGGATCCCATAATAAATTCTCCGAAATTCTCACCTAACGCGTACGACTTCCTCACGTCAGTCCACAATTGGAACATAGGGTCCAAAACCATCACCAAGTTCCATCAGAAGGCGCAAGACAACAGACTCCTGAACGTATTCAAAGAAAAAAGCCCCCACACCTTTTTCATACCCGTAGACTCAGGTATCGACACCCGCAAGTACCAAATGATAGACAGGAAGGTGCTGCTCCGTCACGTGGTGCCCAATCACGTCCTCTTCATCAGGCCATCAGAAAGAAACGTGGTAACTTTGTCAGACGAAGACCAGTCTCCTTACACACTGTCTTTCGAGAGGACCAATGAAAGATTGTTCGTTAAGTATATATCTAAAGACGACGACTTGGAATTTTCTTCCGAGGTACTAGTACCCGACATCCCAGTCAAAAACGGGGTTATACACTTAATCTCCCAACCGCTGGGCAACTTTGAAAAGTCCCTGAAGCCTTTCCCTTTCCTGCCCATCATGGAAAAAATCTCCAACGACCCAGAGGTAGACACCTTCTACAAGATGGGGAGTATGACGAAATTCAACGAAATATTCAACAAGAAGAACGTCAATTTTACTTATTTCGTACCCAAAGACTCGGCTTGGAATAAGATAAACGACATGGGACTCGAACCCATCGACGACCCCAGCGACATCCTGGCCAGACACTTGGTGATCTCAGACTCGCCTTATTCGATGCAACAGTTAGTTTCCATGTCCAGGGTTAACAACTACACTGACATCGAATTGCAGTCGGAAGGAGGCCCTTTGAGGATGTCTGCGTTTAGGGTGGAAGGGGAATACTTCATAAAGTGGAAGAGGAAGTACATTAGGGTGTTGAGACCCGACTACGAGTGCACCAATGGTATAGTGCACGTTCTCAACGGTCCCTTAGTCGATTTTACACGGAAGAAGTTGAATCAATCTTTGAACGAAGGTTCTTTGGTTGGTTATTGGAACATCGTGAAAGACATCATAGTATAACAAAAAAATGTTACGCTGTTAAAGTGACAAGTTGTTATAATATTAAGAAGTTTTTTTTAATAAATACAAATGTTTTAGTTACTATGATAATTCTTCACGCCAGTGAAAGGAACATTAGATATAAGCTGTCCCAGAATGGCAGACCACAATCTTGCAACCACGAAAGATTTTTAATAGAGAAGTCTATCTAAAACATATCTTGATAGTCGTCGAGTTTTATAAAGGTAAGTTTTTCATTTTGATCCTAGGAGTCTGTGGTCGATCCTAACGTTTCTGGGACGAGCTATACTGGGTGACTGTACAAAGGACTCTTACAAATACAAATTTGTAAAAAAAATTAAAAAGGGCATTCGAAAATGAATTAAGAGTACACTTCTGCACGGCACTGGCAACTGGTCCAGTGCAAAAACTGATCCTACGCTAGGCAAAGCATGCAGTCGGCGACTGGCACGGCGGCAAAGTGTAATAAAAAATGAACGGACAAAAAATTTGAAGAATTTCTTTTTCAAGGAAGATAATTTAGTTGCTGTGACAAGTCTTGACGTCACTGAAAGGAACATTAGATATAAGCTGTCCCAGAATGGCAGAACACAATCTTGCAACCACGAAACATTTTTAATACCACTTAAGAGAAGTCTGTAAAAACTGACCTTGAGCAAGGTAAAGCATGCAGTCGGCGACTGGCACGGAGGCAAAGTGTAATAAAAAATGAACGGACAAAAAATTTTAAGAATTTTTTTTCCCAAGGAAAGAAATAAAATTGTATTATTTCATATCAGCAAATTAATAAAATTAATTTGTGGTTTTAATTAATAAAATAATTTGACATACCTGATGTTACAACAACTGTTTAAAATTTTGTCAACCGACGTTTAAACACATTTGGGCCCGTTTTACCCAGTTTCTACGAACTTAACATAAATGTTGTCTTGCTTCACCATAAATTGAAATGATATCCATCAACTCCGAGTTGCTAGTTGCTACACATGTAAGCCATTTTTGACAATTGGAAAACTAATGTAAACACTATCGCAAAAACGGTAGCAGTACCCCAGCGATGTAAAAGTTGAAAATACTACAACTTCAATAATTTTTTTCTAGGAGACTATAAGGATTTTACAAAAAATTTTTCGCGATATTGACTCCATTTTTCATGACGCCTCTATTCCCAAATTTTTTGGGATACATTGTGAATCACCCTATATACCAGGTGACAAGTCATACAAAAGAAAAATCTGATTTTATCAAATTATTTTCCATAGCAATTTCGCGCTCTGCCACTTAATTTCACACAATTTATTTAAAAAAGCAAATACAACCGAGCGCACATACAACCGAGTTTTGGAGTTGCCCAGTAGTGGCGTAGACAAGAGCTTAAATGTAGTATAAAAAACGAATTATAACCCAATCTACATTATTAAAAAACTGTTTTTTAAAGGCTTATGTAAACGATATAGACTTTAAAGAACTCGGTAAAAATTCAAGATTTGTGGAATGAAATACAATTTGAGGTTGAAAAAATATAGTCAATATCCTTGGTTTATCCATTATTTGCAAAGTTATGCCAAGTTATTCAATTATCTCTAATTATGAAATTTTTTACCTTTTTTCCAACCAACATTTTCACAAAAAAGGTTTTGATTAACAACTAATAATAATTACGATTAGTAGAGAATACTTTGCAGTTTTCAAACTCTACTTGGGTTTTCTGTACGATCATTATCTATTTCGACGATAACTCGACAAATCTTCGTACAGGGCTCCGGAACCACAAATTGAAGGGAATTAAATTACCTAAAAGAGCTTTATGGTGAAATTACCAAAAAAAATATTGATGTCCATAGACCTTTTTAATGACAAGTAAAAATTTGGAATTTTTTTTCCTTGGTTTTCTTATAACTCAAAAACTGCTGACTTTAAAAAATTTGAAACTCCAGATCCGAAAATTAGAAACAAAGCTTCAATTTCCTTTTTTTATTCTCTCTACTACCACTTCCATCCAAGTTACAGCTTTTTGAAAATCATCCGAAATTTTCGATTTTTTTAATATCCCTTAATTTTTGTTACTAGTTTAAGAGAGGCATTCTTTAACAAAAACGCCACCCACCTCATATCGTCTAAAAATTGAAGGAATCCAGGAAATTCTTCTCCGTTTCATTTTGTAACTATATTGGGGAATCTTTTAAACTGAAAGTTTATACATCGAAAAATAAGCACTTTAAGAAAAAAATGTCCATTATCAAAACTTAATAATTCCACTGAGGAAACACATTAGTATTAAAAGTAGTCTCCCTCGCCCCTCCTTATAGGTAGGGTGGAGGGTAACTTTAAAATCTTAACTAGAAACACCTATTATTTGTTACAGATTCGGATTCTAGGGCTACAAATACTCGTACGTAGGATTTGCCTGAAACATTTTTTAAATTCATGGTAATAGTTGGCGCTGTAATAAAAAAAATTCAATTTTTTCCGTTTCTCCTACTGAGATCTATGCATATGATTCTCAATATGTTTGGAATAAAAAATACTACCTTTTTTGTAAAGACTCGAAATTCGTCGTCAAAAAAGTTTATTCATTTTGCAAATTTCGAATAACTGGGAAATTGTTACCTGTAGAAATATAAATGGCTGGTGAATAAACTAATTTTAGCGTAACCCATGAACAACTACCTTAGGGGTGCTTGATTCAAATGAATTGTTTTTTGAAGTTACATCTTTCTTTCTACGTTTATTTTGTGTTTTTGCAGTTACAAAAAACACGAGGAAAGAAATAACACAAACGTTAAATGTAAACATAAAACAATTTTGTAAAAATTATTAATAACAAAAGATAGTATTTTTAAAACAAAATACGAAAAAATACATTGAAAGCAGATTTAATCAAGCGAAGAAAATCGCGTTGACTCAGTATCCCAAAAAGGACGCCTGTTCTTGGGTTAGGATAATAGTTTCTTGGCAAGTCACTGTCCAGTTATTGAAAATTTGAGAAATATAATTTGTTTTAAGACTAATTCTATATTATTTACAGCAAACATATTTTTTCGACTGAATATCCGAAATACTATTTCAGCACCGTGTTTCGACTAACTTACCGTTTATGATGAAACCGCAAAATATCGACGTTTCATTTTTATGAACTTTAACAGTGACTAGAATTTTAATGAAGCGGTTTGCTGCATAAATTCCTCGAACTTTTCAATGCCTTATATCAAAGTGAACGAATCCTGAATACAAACGAAATTGGGTGCGAATAACCAACAACCAATCTACAGGGCGAAAAACCTGAAGAAAAAAATTTAAGAAATCTAAAACAAGTAAAAATGCTGACACCACTTTTACCAGATTTTAGTTCTACTGGATTCTGGAATCTGGAATTGTAGGGAGGGTAGCTTAAAAGCTACAGTACTTAGACCCCATTGGGCCTCTTGTACTTCCTCCCATTAGGAGATCAATCCGCCTGAGCCGCTAACCAACCTATTACAGAGAAAAAGGTGGTGACGTCTCTAATACAGGGTGTCCGGAAATGATGAACAAAAAATTCAGGGGATAATTCTAGACCGAAAATAAATCCTACCTCTTTCTATAACATGTTTTCCAAAACTGATTATTAACGGAGTTACAGGGTGTTAAAGTTAAATTTTATTTGCAGTTTTTTTGCAATACCTTTTGCCACACTCATAATATTTTGACGAAATTTCGTATATGGGGGTTTTTCGGGATGAGGATTATAAATTTGCCCACTGTTTTTTCGCATTTTGTAGACCACATACAAGCCTTTATTTTGATTTGAATGGTTTTCGAGAAAAACGCTAAAATAACATTGCTTGCATGTGATGAATACGAAATCATTTTAATTTGTTTTCTACATTAAACATAGCATGCTTTGGAAACAAGCGCTTAGTTGCCTTGGAAACAAGTTCGTGGAGAATTAGTTTTGACAGATAGTAATTTTGTACAAGTTCTTTTGTAGTATTGTTATCATAAAAATAATAATAAAAATGAACAATAATTACTCTAACGTGTAGTTGCGAGACATGCATTATTATTACGGTTTAGCTGCTGGCAATGCTCTTGCAGCACGACGCTTGTATCGCGAAGCATTTCCAAAGAGAAACCTACCCCAATCGCGAATGTTCAGTACTATTCATCGAAGACTGGGAGAATTTGGATCGTTCAAAACTAGAATTTTTGATGTAGGTCGACAACGGAATACTAGAACAGCAGAAGCAGAAGCTCGTATTTTCGAATTCGATAAAGAATAATCCCAATGTAAGCATAAGAAAAATTACTATTCAGGAGGACATTCCAAATAGCTCCGTACATGAAACAATACGCGAACAAAACCTTCATCCGTACCACTACCAAAAGGTGCAAGCCTTATCTGCCGTAGATTCTGCTGCTCCTGTGAATTTCTGCAATACAATTAGAATACTTCATAATGGTGACCAAAATTTTGTTCGTAATATCCTTTTCACGGACGAAGCTGGATTTGGCCATGATGGCTTAATAAACCTCCACAATGAGCATTTTTGGTCTGATGAGAATCCTAATTTATCAATAGAGCGTGGTTATCAAAATAAGTTTTCCGTCAACGTGTGGGCCGGTATTGTAGGGGACTACTTAATTGGGCCACATTTCTTTCCACAAAGACTCAATGGTGAAGTTTACTTGGATTTTTTAAGAAACCACTT